TTGGATTGTGTCTCCCCATCATATTCAGGTACACTGATCAAGCATAGATTAGGTCTTTTCACACAATCCCATATTTATTGGAGGCTTTGTTCATTTCTTTTCACTCCTTTTTCTCTTGTCTTACCTTCTTGTTGTATTCCATTGAATTGATCTTCAATTTTTGATACCCTTTCCTCTGCTTGATTGATTTGGGTATTAAAACTTGTTTTTGTTTCACGTAGTTCTCGTGCTGTGTTTTTCAACTCCATCAAGTTGTTTATGTTCTTCTCTAAGCTGGTTATTCTAGTTAGTATTTCGTCCAACCATTTTTCAAGGTTTTTGGTTTCTTTGCGTTGGGTTAGAACGTGTTCCTTTAGCTCAGAAAAGTTTGTTATTATCCACTTTCTGAAGCCTGTTTCTGTCTATTCATCGCACTCCTTGGTTGAATTGTGATCCTATGTTTTTGAGGAGTTGTGATCCCTTGAAGGAGAAGACGTGTTCTGGTCTTTCATGTTTTCATCTTTTTTGCACATTTTTTTCCCCATCTTTGTGGATTACCTGGCTGTGTTATCAGGGAGCTGCTTCATGAGGTAGCTTGTCTGCCTGTGGTGGCACTAGTGGGTTTCTAGGGGCTCCTTCAGATTACTAGGGAATCTTCCTGTGTCTTTTTTGTTTATGCTGGGAGATTAGGCCTGCCTCTTCGGCTGACTTGTAGGTGCTGCTGGGTTGTCAAAAATGCTGTCCTGTTACTACCTAGGCTTCCTGTGTTTTTTGTTAAAACATGTAGCCCAGTCACACCCCTCTAGTTGTGGGTTGTGCCCTTCCTCCACTGGGCTGGATCATTCAGGGTTCATCTCAGACTGTGGCACTGGCTATGCAACCCGCTAGAGTGAGAGCTTCAGCCCTCTGGGGTTTGTGGGGGAGGGTAGGGACCCACCCAGATGCACCTGGCCGTCTCCCCCTTTCAGCTTCCTCTCTCTCAGGTCATGGGGTAGGAGCCTGCCCAGCTGCTCCTGCCTACCGCTCCCTCTCTCTCCGGGCGGAGGGAGGGGACAATAGCTCAGTCCACGGGCTCTTATTCAACTCAGCACTTGTAATTAATTCCGGCTCTTGACTGGCAAAGATCCCCTGTTCTGTGTATTGCTGAGGCTTTGGGGGAAGTGCTGTATCTGGACTGGAGTTCCAGAGGGGAGCCTTTGACGCGCTGGTCAGATGCACTTTCAGGGTGAAGCCGCACCCCTCCCTGCCTCGGATTGCCCTAAGTGGGCTTTGCTCACCATTGGACCAGACCCGTTGAAATGCATCTGGTACCTCAATTGGAGTTAGGAGATCTCTGGATTTCTGCATCTCTCTTGCTGGGTTGTGCGCTGGAGTTGTGTCTAATCGGCCATTTTGGATCTTCCAGGTACATCCTTTTATAACTCATTGTTTTATTTTCCCTTTGCCTTCTTCTTTGACCCACTGGTTATTGAAAAACATGTTGTTTAATTTCCACATAGTTGTGGTTTCATATTGCATTTCATACCACTGTGGTTGGAAATCATAAATAGTATCATTTGGATCTTCTTAAATTTATTACAACTTATTTTGTGGACCAACATATATAACTTATTTTGTGGAATGTTTGGTGCGCACTTGAAATAATGGATTCTGCTGTTGCTGGAGGGAATATTCTGTGTATATCTGTTAGGTCTGTTTGGTCCATGCTGCTGTTCAATTCTGATGTTTAATTATTGATTTTCTTACTGGATATTTTCTTTATTGCTGAAGGTGCCATATTGATGTTTTCTACTATTATTGCTTTGCTCTCTATTTCCCCATCAGTTCTGGTAGTATTTGTTTACATATTTAGGTAGTCTGATGTTGGGTACATATAAACTTAAAATTTTATGTTTTGTTGATGAACTGACCACTTTATAGTTATACTTTCTTTATCTCTTGTGACTTAAAGTCTTCTTTGTTATGAATACAGCTACTCCTGCCCTCTTGGTTTCCATGTCCATGGAGTACCTTTTTCTATCCTTTCACATTCAGCCTATTTGTGTCCTTACAGGTGAAATGAGTCTCTTGTAGGTAGCATACAGTTGAGTCTTGTTTTTCATTTTTTCCCCTTAAATATCCATTAGGCAATGCTGTCTTTTGATTCAAGAATCAGTTCATTTACATTCAAGGTGTGTATTGATAGGTAAAGATATGCTAGTACTATTTTTGCATTTTCTGGTAGTTGTAGATTGTTTCTTCCGTTCTGGTTGGCTTTCTTTGTGATTTGATGATTTTTCTGTAGTAGTATGTTTTGGTTCTGTTTTCTTTATTCTCTTGTGTCTTCTACAGAGTGTTTCTTCTATGAGGCCTACATAAAACATCTTGTCACTCTAACAGTTTGTTTTAAGCTGGTAAATGATTTAACTTCAACTGCTACTGAAAGCATACACTAACTCCTCCTTTCCCCCACATTTTCTGTTATTAATGTTGCAATTTACATCTTTTATATATTGTGTGTGTGTCCGTTAAAAATTATTGTATCTATGGTTATTTTAATGCTTTTCTTTCATCTTTCATACTATAGTTAAAAGTGATTTATGTACCACCATTATAGTATTAGAGTGTTCTCTATTTGAGTATATTGTTAGCTTACAGTGAGTTTTATACTTCATATGTTTGCATTTTGCTAGTTAGCACTGTTTACTTATAACCAGATTTCTCTTTAGCATTTCTTGTAAGGCAGGTATGGTGGATAATTTTAGATGTCTTACTCACTGGTTAAGGAATATATAGGAAATTGGTAAAGCATTGTTTTAGGACATATCCATGAGGATGCTCTAGTGATTTATGTGTGAATCTAAATGGACTAAGTGGGGAAAGTCTGCCTTCAGTGTGGGCAGGCATCATCCTATCGGCCATGGGCCCGTAGAGAACAAAAATGGAGAGAACCTTGACTAATACAGTGAGTCTGGTAATTATGAACTTTCAAAGCTTTTGTTTGGGAAGTTCTTTATCTTTCCTTTATTTCTGAAGGACAGCCTTACTGAGTATAGTATTCTTGGTTGACAAATTTATTTTTTCTCTCCCTTTCAGCATTTTGAATATTCTCATATCGTCTCCTAGCTTCAAGGTTTCTGCTGAGAAATCCTCCACTTGTATGTGGTATGCATTTTTTTCTTACAGCATAAAAACATTTTTTTTTGTCTTTGCCATTTGAGAATTTAATTTTAATGTATCTCAATTATTTTGAATTGTCAGGTGGTTTGTAAATATAGATTTCTTTAGAGTCATTTAGTAGTACATTATTTTGCCAGTTTTTATAGATAAGCTTTGACAGAAGAAGCTCTTTATCAATCAGCCTGTCCAGTGTTTCTGGGTGGGCTTGCTATTAGAATTTGTAGACAGGCTGGCTTAGTGCTTGTGTCAGCATCTTGTTAGGCCTGGTGCCTGAGCTCATAGGAGCTTGCCTGGTGCCCAGACATAACCAGGAGTTTATGTCTGCTGGGGTAGGCCTGGATCCTGGGTGCATTGAGGCTGGCTTGGCATCAGAGTCCACTGAAGTGGGCCTGCTAAATGGATTTGAAGGGGCATGAAATCTGTGTCTATGGGGGCTGGCCTGTCATTGGGATCTACTGTGTTAGGCCTGGTGCCTGTGTACATAGGGGTGATCCTAGAAGGCTGGATCCTGGGGATAGATCTGGAATCTGAATCCATGGGAGCTGGGGGGACACTGGGACTGGCCTGGAACTTTAATCTGCAGGAGTGGCCCTTGGAAGACAGACTGAAGCATGGTTCTACAGGTATGGTCTTGGAGCCTGGGCCTGTTGGAGTGGTCCCAGCACTGAGATCTACTAGGCAGGCCTTGAGGTTGGGTCTGCTGGACTCTGCCTAGTGCTGGGGTTACCCTGGAGCCTTGGGCTGCAGACAGCAGTTTGGAGCCTGAAGCTGTGGATGCTAGCCTGGTGCTTTGGGTCGTATGAGCCAGTTTGGAGTCCTATTCCATTGACATGGGCTTGGATCCTGCATCTGTGCTGGATAGCATGGAGGCTGGGGCCACAGGGGCTGGCCTGGTACTTGTCTTGTGTTAGTTTTTAAAGGAAGTGTAATTCTTTTATAACAGAAATGTTGTTTGGCTCTTTTAGCTCTTTCAACATAAATCTGAACTTTTTGTTTTTCAAGAAGGAAATAGTACGGCATAATGGAAGGAGAAAGGGATTCAGTCAACCTGATACAAATCATGTCTGAGCCACTTGTTAGTTGAAAGATCTCCATCAATTTACTAACCTTCTGTGGACCTGTTTTTTTTTTTTAATCTTGGAAAAGTGTATAACAATGCCAATCGTATCTTTAATAAGAGGAGCTTCAGGATTGCAGTCTGCTCAGAAGAGTAGGAGGCTAACATATTTATCTTAAAAATTTATTGCAAACATATTTTCTATGTACAATCTAAGTTTATTTTGGGGACTGATTTGGTGGGGTGGGAAATTTAGGTGGAAATACTAGGAAGAAAATACCTTCACGTCAATCCCTTAGTGCTGCCAGCAGAATAATATATTTATGTAATTAAGACTAGTCTATTTTTAATGAATGCCGGCTATGTTCTGTATTTAATTACTGAAAGAGATGAACTGTTTTAAAATCCTCTCTTCCTTTCTGGAATGAATTCGAACCATTTAAACAATTCATAATTTGAAATAAGATTATTCAGTTTGTTCTTACGTTATTCAGATATTATGGGACATGAATTGCCATGTTTCCCTTTTCTCAAATCAATGTCTGTATTATTTAAGACACTTTTACTTTTCTTTTGATAAGCCAGTGGACATTGATGTTATAATGGGAAAAAAATAGTCTATCGCAGTGCATCTTTAATTTCATTTCAATTTAATTGCCTAGGAATCTTGTTGACTGATGATTCTGATTTAGAAGGTCTAAAGGTGGGACCTGAGATTCTGCATTTCTAACAAACTCCCAGATGCTGCTGTTACTAGCCTATAAACCACACTTAAAAGTGGCATGGGACTCAAAATAGGGTAGGTTACCACAAAATTTTAAAGGTGGAAGGAATGGTACAATGTTGGTAATTCTTAAAAACATATATACTGTCTGTCCTGGTTTCCGGATGAAAACACTAAAACTTAGAGAATCTGAGGATCAGGGATAAGGTCACGATAGCTAGCAGTAGAGCCATAGGAAATTCAACTTATCCTATGGTTTCTGTGTGCTACACTAGTGCTTCTTAAATTTCAGTTATTTACATATATTATGTAGGTTTCTCAGATAAAGTTATACAGGGTAGGTGAAATCCCTGGAATGTGCTGTGTTACAATTATTCCTTCTTCAAGTAACTGAAGATATTAAATTATGGCAAGGTTTCTCAACCAAAGTCTCAGCGATATCTATACACTTACATTAAAGGAAAATGAATACATAGGCAATCCCCTATCAGAATTTTTGGAATTCTGATCTTTACTGTTTTGATAAGTCTCTTCCAAAGGTGTTTTAGAGACTAATTTATCAATTTGATTACTAAGTAAAGCAAGGAAAGAACTAAAGGAATTTTGCATGGGGAGAAGACCAATGAGATTTTTCTATGAACAGAATAGTGACTAAATTTTACCATGTGGCCTACAATGTCTGTCTCAGTCAAGGTTATATACAATCCCTCTGTATTCTTCTGTCTCCCAATATCATGCCTGGAGCCAAGACACTTGGACAAATAAAGAATCCTACTTTTAGACGGGAGACTCAAAGTAGTAAATGTAAATATTGTTAAGATATTACATAAGGAACAAAGGAAGAGTGGCTCTCTTTGACTCATTTCTACTCAAATTACTATTTTGTTGTACTTTATGAAAATTAACAGTCTGAACAAGAGGAGGAAGTTAGTTTAATTTTGGAAGATCTTAAATTGTATATCAGTTCTCCAATGGCCATTTTTAATCAACTCAATTTTTAAACAAAAACTTATAAATATGACTGAACTGAAGATTTCTATAGAGAGCTTCAACATAAGACTTGATCAAGCAGAAGAAAGGATCAGTAAACTCACAGACAGGTTATTAAAAATTACCCAGTCAAAGGAACAAAAAGAGTAAAGGAATGAAAAAGAGTGAGAAAGGCTGTGAGAATTATGGGGCAATGAAGCAAACTAATCTTTGCATTATAGGAGTTCCAGAAGGAACAGAGAATGAGAAAGGAGTACTGAATATATTTAAAGAAATAATGACAGAAAACTTTATAAACTAGGGACAGATGTAAATATCTACACATAAGAAGCTTTGAAGATCTCCAGTTAGGTTCAATTGAAACAAGGCTAAAATAATACATAGTAAAACTCTCAGAAGCATTAAGACAAAGAGAGGATCCTGAAAGCAGCAAGAGAAAAGAATCGTATCTCATAAAATAGAACTCCAACATGGCTGTAATTAGATTTCTCAGCAGTAACGTTGAGGGTCGGGGTAGAATGCAACGCTATATTAAAGAAAAGCAACAACAAAACCCAAGCAAACAAAAATTTCTTGCTCAAAAAAACAAACGAGAAAAAAACTAGCAACCATAATGTTGTCCCTCAGAAATGAAGAAGGGATAAGAGCTTTCCCAGGCAAATAAGAGCTGAGGAAGTTCACTAGGCTTGCTGTATAAGAAATGCAAAAGGGAATTCTTCAAGCTGAAAGAAAAGGATGGTAATTGGTAATATGAAAACATATAAGTGTATAAAAGTCATTTGTGAAAGTAAGTACATAGTCAAATTTAGAATGCTGTAATGCTATAATGGTGATGTGTAAATCAGTTGTATCTTTAGTGAGGTTTAAATGCAAAGCTGTTAAAATAGGCATATTTACAATAATTTATGAAATGATATATATAAAATATGTAAATTATGATCAATAACATGTTGGAGGCAATAAAATTGTAGAGTTTCTGTATGTTATTGAAGGTATCACCTTAAAAATAGCCTGTTATAACCATAATATGTTTTATATAAGTCTCATGGTAACCACAAATAAGAGAACTATAGTGTATACACAGGAGATAAGTAAGAAATCAAAGCATACCACAACAGAGAATCATTAAATTACAAAGGAAGACAGGTAGAGTGGAAGAAAGGAACAAAGAACTTGCAAAGATATCAAAAAACAATGAATAAAATGGCAGTAGTATCTCTTTATCTATGAGATAAGCAGTTTAAATGTCAGTGGATTAAATTCTTCCATCAAAAGACACAGAGCCACTGAATGGATTTTGTTAAAAAATCCAAACCATACCCTATTAACAAGAAACTCGTTTCGTCTTTAAGGACACAAATAGACTGAAAGTGAAGAAATGGGAAACGATAGTCTATGAAAATTGAAACCAAAAAGAGCAGAGCTAGCTATACTTAGATGAAATAGACATTAAATAAAAAATTGTGAAAAGAGGCACAGAAGATTATTATATAATGATAAAAATGGTCGGTTCATCAAGAAGATACAACAATTGTAAACAGATATGCACTGAACATCAGAACACCTAAGTACGTAAAGCAAATACTAATATATCTGAAGGAATAAACAAGACTGCAAGGCAATAATAGTAGAGGACTCCAATATTTCACATTCATCAGTAAATAGATCATCCACTTAGAAAATCAATATGGAATTTGATGTGTGCACTTCAGTCATCCAATAGATCAACTATACCTAGCAAACATATATCAGAATAGTTTATCCAACAACAGCGGAACACACATCCTTCTTAAGCATATGCTAAACATTATCCAGGATAGACCATATGTTAGTCCAGAAAACAAATCTTAATACACTTAAGAGGATTTAAATGATATCAAGGATATATTTTTACCACAATGGTGTGAAATTATAAATCAATAATAGGAAGAATTTCAAAAATTTACAAATACATGGAAATTAAAAGCGTGCTTCTCAATCAGTGGGTCCAAGATGAAATTAAAAGGACAATAAAAAATATCTTGAGACTTGTGAAAGTAGACACTCAACATATCAATTTGTATAGGATGCAGCAAAATCAGTTCTAAGAAGTTTATAGCACTAGATGCCTACACATAAAAGAAGAAAAATCTGGAACAATTTCGTGTTACACTTAAAGGAACTAGAAAAATGACAGCCTAAGCCCAAAGTTAGTTGAATGTATGAAATGGTAAACATCAGAGCAGAAATAAATGAAATAGAAATTATGGAAACAATAGAAGAGATCAACAAAGCTAACAGTTGCTTTTTTTAAAAGATAAAATTGACAAACCTTTAGCTAAGCTGAAAAAATAGTGAAGAGTTAAAGAAATAAAATCAGAAATGAAAGAGAATACATTACAACTTGTATATAACAGGAATATCAAGAGTCATAAGAGACAACTATGAGCAGTCATTTGCCAACAAATTAGATAACCTAGAAGAAATGTATAAATTCCTAGAAACATACATCCTACCAAGACTGAATCATGAAGAAGTTGAAAATCTGTATAATAATAAGTAAGGAGGTTGAATCAGCAATCATAAACCTCCCTACCAACAACCGAGGACGTGATGCCTTTACTAGTGAATTCTCCTTAATATTTAAAGAATAAACACCAGTGTTTCTCAAGATCTCTCAAAAAATTGATTTGATGAGAGAAAACTTCCAAACTCATTTTAAGAGGCCATTTTTACCATGATACCAAAGTCAAAGACACTACAAGGAAAAAAAAAATGCAGGCCAATATTCTTCATTAAGATAGATGCAGAAATTCTCAACAAAATACTAGTAAACCAATATATTAAAAGCACCATACACCATGCTCAAGCAGGATTTATTCTTGGGATGCATGTATGTCTGTGGTTCAACATTTACAAGTTGATAAATGTCATAAATAACATTAATAGAATAAAGTGATTATCTCAATGAATGCAGAAAAAGCATTAGACAAAATTTAACATTTGTTATAAAAACCCTAAGCAAGTTAGGTATACAGGGAATGTACCTGAACCTAATAAAGGTCATATGTGTTAAACCCACAATTAACATCATAACAATAGGAAGGTGAAGATGCAAAAAAAAAAAAAGTATTACATCAAATCTTAAAATATTGTTTGGGGATGGAATAACAGTGTAGAGTCACTTAATGCAATCAAACTGAAGTTGTTATCAGCTTAAAATAGTCTAACTATAAGATGTTTCATGTAAATCTTTTGGTCACTACAAAGGAAAAAATCTATGCTAGATACACTTAAGATAAAAAGTAAGGAACCAAAGCATAGTGCTAGAGAAAATCATTTGACCATAAAAGAAGACAGCAAGAGAGGAAGAAAGGAAGAAAGAATTACAAAACAACCAGAAAAACGAGCAAAATAGCAATAGTAAATCCTTATCTGTGAATAATTACCTTGAATGTTAATAGATTAAGTTCTTCAATGAAAAGATAAAGTGACTAAATCAATCAGAAAACAAGACCCAAGTATATTCTGCCTACCAGAGAATCACCCTCACTTTTAAGGGCACACATAGATTGAATGTGACAGGATAGAAATAGATAATCCATGCTGATGGAAACCAAAAGAGAGTAGAAGTAGCTGTACTTAAATCAGATGAAATAGAATTTAAAACATTATAAAAAGAGACACAGAAAAGGTCATTATATAATGTAAACTGGCCAGTTTGTGGAGAGGATATAACAGTTGTAAATATATCTGCACCCAACATCCGAGTAGCTAAATATATAAAGTAAATATTAATAAATCTGAAGAATGAGATAGACTGCAATATAGTAGTAGTAAAGACTTTAATATTCCTCTTTAAATAATGAACAGATCATCCAGACAGAAAATGATATAGGACTTTAACTACATCTTACATCAAATGTAACAGACATACGTAGAGCATTTCAGCATTCTATCCAATATTAGCAGAATCCACATTTTTGTTGAGCACTCTTGGAAACATCTCCAGGACAGATCATATGTCAGACCAGAAAATAAGTCTTAACAAATTTAAGAAGATTCAAAATATACCAAGTATCATCTCCAGTCACAATGGTATGAAAATAGAATTCAGCCCCGTCCCCGTCCCCGGGGCCGCTGCCACCCGCCTCACACCATGGCTCTGAAGAGAATACACAAGGAATTGAATGACCTGGCCCGTGACCCTCCAGCACAGTGTTCAGCACGTCCTGTTGGAGATGGTATGTTCCATTGGCAAGCTACAATAAAGGGGCCAAATGATAGTCCCTATCAGGGTGGAGTATTTTTCTTGACAATTCATTTCCCAACAGATTACCCCTTCAAACCACCTAAGGTTGCATTTACAACAAGAATTCATCATCCAAATATTAACGGTAATGGCAGCATTTGTCTTGATATTCTGCGGTCACAGTGGTCTCCAGCACTAACTATTTCAGAAGTACTCTTGTCCATCTGTTCTCTGTTGTGTGATCCCAATCCAGATGATCCTTTAGTGCCTGAGATTGCTTGGATCTACAAAACAGATAGAGAAAAGTAACAACAGAATAGCTCGGGAATGGACTCAGAAGTATGCGATGTAATTAAAGAAATTATTGGATAACCTCTACAAATAAAGATAGGGGAACTCTGAAAGAGGAAAGTCCTTTTGATTTCCATTTGACTGCTTTCTATGAGCCCACGCCTCATCTCCCCCTGTGCACATGTTTACCTGATACAGCAGTGCTGCGTGTTGTACATACTTGGAACAACAAACTAGAAATACTGTACTTCTGTACCAACATTGCCTCCTAGCAGAGAAGTATGTGTGTGACAAGCCAGTTCTACAGGCATTACCTAGGTGTGAGACTAAAAGCTTTCCTTATTGACTTAAATTTGGATAACAGCAAAGGGTGGTGGGGTATGGTGTGTGCTTGGATGGGAAAGAAAAAGTTCCGCTCACCTGTAGGAGATTATTTTTAAGTGGAATCCATTTAAACTCAAAACAGTTATGAAAAGCAAGGTGAAGAACATGAAGCTGTGTCTGTATTCATTTTATTCCGAAGGAGCTACGTCTTAGGTGAAAGTTATGATCAACCAGATTAAACTACCCACATCCTGCATTTTAAGGTCTAAGTTTAACTGGTCAACATTTAAATGGATTGGAGCTATTAGTACATCAAGTGTAATGGGCTTTGTTCCCAACTCTTTTACATCTCCCTACCCCTTCAGCCTTTGGCCTTTCAGCCCGTCTTTCTCTCTTCCATATTCTTTGGTTGGTATGTGGTTTCTCAGTTAATACATAGCTAATAGCTCTTATTTTTCTTATGTTTTTAACTTAAATAGACCTAACCTTATGTGAGGTCTATTTGCGTGTAAGGGTGAAAATTCATTTGATGGAAATATTTGTGTATATTTAAAGACCCAGTTGCTCCTCTGGAGCTTGTACATTCAAGAATGACTAATCTGTGTAATAAACTGATTACTACAGTCATTACATACAATTTTGTGTAAATAGGCTTTCTGATTTTTAAGAAGTTTGTCTAGCTGAGATTAGTGGTGGATTTTCTCCCACCCCTGAAATGTTCATTTATACTGGTTGCATTTTAAAATCATGAAACAATTCCAGTTACATAGTAAAAAGGATATCCTAAGAGTAATTTTATTAAACAAGATAGAGGCATAAGCTTAAGAGCATTTCAATGAAACTTGACACATGCAGCATTCCAGGAATATGACTTTACATTCAATAAGAAATTTGCTTTATTAATGAAACTAAGCTGCATTTCACCAAAATCTTGTGACGTTCCCTTGGTACATAGTACATAAAACACAAAGGCGTTGCTAGTTGGTAAGTTAAGCCTCTGTGATTGTAATTATAAAAGAGCAACCATTGACTAAACCTGGGAAACAAGAGCACAATCTTGTTTTGGAGAGTCTGCATAATTACTTTGCACTAACATTTGCAGGATGTTCATCCAATTTTAAATTGTACTGCATGTGGCTTTTTGAAGTCTTCCATTGACTCTAGTAAAATGTAGCTTCAAACCTGTAAAAAGAAAAAAGAAAATGGAATTCATAACAGAGGGAATAGTGCAACATTTATAAATTTGTACAAATTTACATGGCCCTAAACAACCAAGAGTAAAATTGAAATGGGAAGTTAGAGGAAAATTAAAAATAGCTTGAGACGAATGAAAATACTATATAACAAAACTTATGGGATGCAACGAAAGCATTTCTAAGAAAAGTTTATAGCAATAAACACACAGTTAAAAATAAGAAGGATCCCACTAAAACAATCTAATGCTGTACCTCAAAGGACTAGAAAAAAGAACAATCTAAACCCCTGGTTTATAGTAGCAAAGAAACAATGAAGGTCAGAACAGAAATGAAACAGAGACTGTAAAACAGTAGAAAAGATGAACAAAACAATTTTTTAAAAAGATAAACAGTTGACAAACTTTTAACTGACAAAAATGAGAGATGACTGAAATATATGAAATCAAAAATGAAAGAGTAGACAATACAGGAGATACAGAAATACAGAGGACAAGAGACTGCTGTGAACAATTGTACACCAACAAATTAGATAACCTAAAAGTTACGGATAAGATCCTAGAAATGTACAACCTACCAAGACTGAATCATGAAGAAATAGAAAAGCTTAACATAATGATAACAAGTAAGGAGATTAAATCAATAAGAAAAAATAGCTCTTATCAGAAAAAGTTCAGGCCTTGATGGTTTTACATCTGAACTTTACAAACATTTAAAGAAGTAATACCAAGCATTCTGAAATACTTCCAAAAAATTGAGGAGTAGATAAAACTTTCAAACTCATTTTAAAAGGCCTGTATTACCCTGATGCCATAGGCAGACAAGTGCATTATAAGAAAGAAATACAGACCAATATTCCTAATGAATATAGATACAGGCATTCTCAATAAAATACTAGCAAACCAATTTCAGTAACACATTATAAGGATCTGTTATCATGATCAAGGTGGATTTATTTCTAGGATGCAAAGTTGGCCCAACTTATGTAAATCAGTAGAGGTCATACACTGCATTAACAAAAAGAAGGACAAAAATATGGTTATCTCAAATGATGCAGAAGAGGCATTTGACAAAATCTAAAATATTAAGTATAGAAGATTGTATTAGTCCATTCTCACATTGATATAAAGAACTGCCTGACAGCAGCCCTAGTCAGGGGCTTATAGATAAAACTCCCGTTTCCCTGGGACAGAGCACCTGGGGGAAGGGGCGGCTGCGGGCACAGCTTCAGCAGACTTAAACGTTCCTGCCTGCTGGCTCTGAAAAGAGCAGCGGATCTCCCAGCACGGCACTCAAGCTCTACTAAGGGACAGACTGCCTCCTTAAGTGGGTTCTTGACCCCCGTGCCTCCTGACTGGGAGACGCCTCCCAGCAGGAGTTGACAGACACTTCATACAGGAGAGCTCCATCTGGCAACTGGTGGGTGCTCCTCTGGGAAAAAGCTTCCAGAGGAAGGAACAGGCCACAATCTTTGCTGTTCTGCAGCCTCTACTGGTGATACCCAGGCAAACAGGGTCTGGAGTGGACCTCCAGCAAACTCCAGCAGACCTGCAGCAGAGGGGCCTGTTAAAAGGAAAACTACCAAACAGAAGAATAGCATCAACATCAGCAAAAAGGACGTCTAAACAAAACCCCATCTGCAGGTTACTGGTATCAAAGGCAAAAGGTAGATAAATCCATGACAATGAGGAAAAACCAGTGCTTAAAAGGCTGAAAATTCCAAAATCCAGAATGTGACTTCTCCTCCAAAGGATCACAACTCACCAGCAAGGGAACAAAACTGGAAAGAGAATGAGTTTGGTAAATTGACAGAAGTAGGCTTCAAAAGGTGGGTAATAACAAACTAATCTGAGCTAAAGAAGCATATTCTAACCCAATGCAAGGAAGCTAAGAATCTTGAAAAAAAGTTAGAGGAATTGCTAACTAGAATAACCAGTTTAAAGAAGAACATAAATGAACTGATGGAGCTGAAAAACATAGCATAAGAACTTTGTGAAGCATATACAATTATCAATAGCCGAATCCATAAAGTGGAAGAAAGGATATCAGAGATTGAAGATCAGCTTAATGAAATAAAGCGTGAAGACAAGATAGGAAAAAAAGAATGAAAAGAAATGAACCTCCAAGCCTCTAAGAAATATGGGTCTATGTGAAAAGACCAAACCTATGTTTGATCAGCGTATCTGAAAGTGATAGGGAGAATGGAACCACGTTGAAATATGCTCTTCAGTATATTATCTAGGAGAACTTCCCCAACCTAGCAACACAGGCCAGCATTCAAATTCAGGAAATACAGAGAACACCACATAGATATTCCTCGAGAAGAGCAACCCCAGGACACATATTGTCAGATTCACCAAGGTTGAAATGAAAGAAAAAATGTTAAGGGCAGCCAGAGAGAAAGGTCAGGTTACCCACAAAATGAAGCCCATCAAACTAACAGTAGATCTCTCTGCAGAAACCCTACAAGCTAGAAGACGTCGGGGCCAATATTCAACATTCTATAGAAAAGAATTTTCAACCCAGAATTTCATATTTTGCCAAACTGAGCTTTATAAGTGAAGGAAAAATAAAATCCTTTCCAGATAAGCAAATGCTTTGAGAGTTTGTCACTACCAGGCCTACCTTACAAGAACTCCTGAAGGAAGCAGTAAATATAGAAAGGAAAAACTGGTACCAACCTGCAAAAACGTACCAAATTGTAAAGACCATTGACACTATGAAGAAACTGTATCAACCAACGGGTAAAATAACCAGCTAGCATTATAATGACAGGATCAAATACACACATACCAATATTAACCTTAAATGTAAACCGTCTAAATGTCTCAATTAAAAGACACAGACTGGCAAATTGGATAAAGAGTCAAGACCCATAGGCGTGCTGTATTCAGGAAACTCATCTCACCTGCGGAGACACACATAGGCTCAAAATAAAGGGATGGAGGAATATTTACCAAGCAAATGGAAAGCCAAAAAAAAAAAAAAAAAAAAAAAAAAAAAAGCAAGAGTTGCATTCCTACTCTCTAATAAAACAGACTTTAAACCAGCAAAGATAAAAAGAAGACAAGGGCATTACATAATGGTAAAGGGATCATTGCAATAAGAAGAGCTATACTATATATATATCTCCAATAAAGGAGCACCCAGATTCATAAAGAAAGTTTTTAGAGACCTACAAAGAGACTTAGACTCCCACAATAATGGTGGGAAACTTTAACACCACACTGTCAATATAAGACAGATCAACAAGGCAGAAAATTAAGGATATTCAGGACTACATCTAGAGAACTCTTTATCCCAAATCAACAGAATATGCATTCTTCTCAGCACCACATCACACGTATTCTAAAATTGACCATATAATTTGAAGTAAAACACTCCTCAGCAAATGCAAAAGAACAGGCATCATAACAGTCTCTCAGTCCACAGTGCAATCAAATTAGAACTCAGGATTAAGAAACTCATGCAAAAGTGCACATCTACATGGAAACTGAACAACCTGCTCCTGAATGACTACTGGATAAAAATGAAATTAAAGCAGAAATAAATAAGTTCTTTGAAACCAATGAGAAAAAAGACACAAGGTACCAGAATTTCTGGGACATGGCTAAAGCAGTGTTAAGAGGGAAATTTATACGACTAAATACCCACAGGAGAAAGCAGGAAAGCTCTAAAATCGACAACGTAATATCACAATTAAGAGAACTAGAGAAGCAAGAGCAAACAAATTCAAAAGTTAGCAGAAGACAAGAAATAACTAATATCAGAGCAGAACTGAAGGAGACAGAAACACAAAAAACCCTTCAAAAACTCAGTGAATCCAGGAGTTTCTTTTTTTTTAAAAAAATTAACAAAATAGACCCCTATCCAGACTAACAGAAGAATCAAATAGCCACGATGAAAAATGACAAAGGGATATCACCACTGATCTCACAGAAATACAAACTATCATCAGAGAATACTATAAACATCTCTATGCAAATAAACTAGAAAATCTAGAAGAAACGGGTAAATTCCTGGACACATACACTCTTCCAAGACTAAACCAGGAAGAAGTAAAATAACTGAATAGACAAAAAACAAGTTTTGAAATTGAGGCAGTAATTAATAACCCACCAACCAAAAAAACCACAGGTCCAGACAGATTCACAGCTGAATTCTACCAGAGGTAGAAAGAGGACCTGGTACCATTCCTTCTGAAACTATTCCAAATAGAAAAAGTGGGACTCTTTTCTAATTCATTTTATGAGTCCAGCATTATCCTGATACCAAAACCTGGCAGAGACGCAACAAAAAAAGCAAATTTCAGACCAATATTCCTTATGAATATAGATGTAAAAACTCTCAATAAAATATGGCAAACCAAACCCAGAAGCACATCCAAAAGCTTATCAACCATGATCAAGTCAGCTCCTTCCCTGGGATGCAAGGCTAGTTCAACATATGCAAATCAATAAACATAATCCATAACATAAACAGAACCAATGGCAAAAACAACATGATTATATCAATAGGTGCAGAAAAGGCCTTTGATAAAATTTAACACCCCTCCGTTCTAAAAACTTTCAGTAAGCTAGGTATTGATGGAACATATCTCAGAATAGTAAGAGCTATTTATGACAAACCCACAGCCAATATTATACTAAATGGGCAAAAACTGGAAGCATTCCCTCTGAAAACCAGCACCAGACAAGGCTACCATCTCTCACCACTCCTATTCAACATAGTATTGGAAGTCCTGGCCAGGGCAATCAAGCAAGAGAAAGAAATAAAAGATATTAAAATAGAAAAACAGGAAGTGAAATTGTCTCTGTTTGCTGATGACATGATTGTATATTTAGAAACTCTATCGTCTCAGCACAAAATCTCTTTAAGCTGATAACCAACTTCAGCAAAGTCTCAGGATACAAAATCAGTGTGTAAAAATTACAAGCATGCCTATACAGCAATAACAGACAGAAAGCCAAATCATGAGTGAAATCTCATTCACAGCTGCTACAAAGAGAATAAAATACCTAGGAATACAACTTACAAGGAATTTGAAGAACCTCTTCAAGGAGAAGTATAAACCACTGCTCAAGGAAATAAGAGAGGACACAAACAAATTGAAAAACATCCCATGCTTATGGATAGGAAGAATCAATATCATCAAAATGGCCATAATGCCCAAAGTAATTTATGGATTCCATGCTATCCCCTTCAAGCTACTACTGGCTTTTGTCACTGGCTTCAAACTATACTACAAGGCTGCAGTAACCAAAGCAGCATGGTACTGGTACAAAAACAGATATATACACCAATGGAACAGAACAGAGGCCTCAGAAATAATGCCACACATCTATAACTATCTGGTCTGTGACAAACCTGACAAAAACAAACAATGGGTAAGGATTCCCTATTTAATAAATAGCGTTGGGAAAACTGATTAGCCATATACAGAAAACTGAAACTGGACCCCTTCCTTACATCTTATACAAAAATTAACTCAAGATGGATTAAAGACTTAGACATAAGACCTAAAACCATAAAAACCCTAGGAGAAAACCTAGGCAATACCATTCAGGACAAAAACCTAGGCAATACCATTCAGGACATAGGCATGGGCAAAGACTTCATGATTAAAACACCAAAAGCAATGGCAGCAAAGGCCAAAATTGACAAATGGAACCTATAAAGAGCTTCTGCACAACACAATACACTGTTATCAGAGTGAAAAGGCAACCTACAGAATGGGAGAAAGTTTTTGCAATCTGTCCATCTGACAAAGGAGTAATATCCGAATCTACAAGGAATTTAAACAAATTTATAAGAAAAAAAAACCCCATCAAAAAGTAGGCAAAGGATATGAACAGACAATTCTCAAAAGAAGACATTTATGTGGCCAACAAACATGAAAAAAAGCTCATCATCACTGGTCATTAGAGAAATGCAAATCAAATCCACAGTGAGATACCATCTCACGCCAGTTAGAATGACCATTATTAAAAAGTCCAGAGACAACAGATGCTGGAGAGGATGTGGAGAAATAGGATTGCTTTTATACCTGGTGGGAGTATTAATTAGTTCAGCCGTTGTAGAAGACGGTGTGACAATTCCTCAAGGATCTAGAACCAGAAATATCATTTCACCCAGCAACCCCATTAGTGGGTATATACCCAAAGGATTATAAATCATTCTGCTGTAAAGACACATACACACAAATATTTATTGCAGCACCAGTCACAACAGCAAAGACTTGAAACCAATTGAAATGCCCATCAATGATAGACTGGATAAAGAAATTGTGGTACATGTACACCATGGAATACTAACTATGCAGCCATAAAAAAGAATGAGTTCATGGTTTTAGCAGGGACATAGATGAAGCCGGAAATCATCATTCTCAGCCAACTAACACAGGAACAGAAAACCAAACACCACTTGTTCTCACTTGTAAGTGGGAGTTGAACAATAACACATGGACACAGGGAGGGGACCATCACACACTGGGGCCTGTCAGGGGTTGGGGGCTAGAGGAGGGATAGCATTAGGAGAAATACCTAATGTAGATGATGGATTTATGAGTGCAGTAAACCACCATGGCATATGTATACCTATGTAACAAACCTGCATGTTCTGTACATGTATCCGTGAACTTAAACTATATAAAAAATAATAGCTGCCTGAGACTGGGTAATTTACTTAAAAAAAAAATAAAAAAGTTTAATTGACTCACAGTTCCACATCCCTGGGGAGGCCTCAGGAAACTTGCAATCATGGCAGAAGGGGAAGCAGGCATGTCTTAGATGGTATCAGGCAAGAGAGCATGTGATGGAAGCAAACGGGGAATAGCCCCTTATAAAACCATCAGATCTTGTGAGAACTCACTATCATGAGAACAGCATAGGGGAAACCACCCCTATGATCTAATCATTGCCCATCAGGTCTCTTTCTCAACACCCAGGGATTACATGGATTACAATTTGAGATGAGATTTGGGCAGAGACACAGAGCCTAACCATATCAAAGATGTACATCTAACCACAGTAAAGACAATATACAAGCCCATAGTGAATATTATAATCAACACCGAGAAGTTCAAGGCTTTTTTCCTAAGATCCGATACAAGACATGGATGGTCACTCTCACCACTTTTGTTCAACACAGTACTGAAAGTACTAACCAGAGCAGTTAAGAAAGCCAAAATGAAAAGGATTCAAATTGGAAAGGGCTAAGTAAAATTGTCTTTCCTTGTAGAGGACGTAACCTTATATATAGAAAAGCTTAGAGGCTCCACCAAAAACCTGTTAGAATTGATTAACAAATTCTATAAAGTGGTAGATTACAAATCAACATATAAAAGTTAGTAGCATTTCTATAGAGTTACAACAAATTACCTCAAAAGGAAATTAAGAACACAGTTCTATTTACAGTAGCTATAAAAATAATAACTAGGTGTAAATTACCCAAAGAGAATACTCTATAAACTGAAAATTATAAACCATTTATGAATGAATTTTAGGGAGATAAAATAAGTGGAAAGAATCTCATGTTTGTGAATTCAAAGGAGTAGCATTGTTAAAGTGTCACTACTGCCCAAAGTTATCTATGGATTTTATGCAATCCCCATCAAAAACTACAATGAAATTTTCCCCAGAAAAGAAAAAAAAAATTCTAAAATTCGTATGGAACCACAAATATCTCAAAATAGTGAAAATAATCTTGAGTAAAAAGGACAAGCTGGAGGCCTCACAGCACCTGATTTGAAAATCTACTATAAAGCTATGTTAATCCAAATAGCATGGTACAGTTATAAAAACAGACACACAGACTTAAGGGACAGAATGGAAAAGCTGGAAAAAATCCACACATTTGTGGTCAATTGATTGTTTATAAAAATGCCAACAGCACACAATGGGGGAAGGGCAGTCTCTTCAGTAACTGGTTGTTGGGAAACTGGGTATTCAGATGCAGAAAATAATATGCTCTCCTCTGACATCATATGTAAAAATAATCTCAAAATAGATTAAATACTTAAATGTAAGACCTAAAACTGTAAAAGTAATAAAGAAGTCATAGGAGAAAAGCTCTCTGTCATTGGTATGATCACAGATCCTTTGGATATAACACCCAAAGCACAGACAACCAAAGTATAAACAACTAGGATGACATCAAACTAAAAAGCTTCTGCACAGCAAAGGAAACAGAATGAAGTATAGGAGAAAAATATGTGAAACCATATGTCTGATAAGGGTTAATATCCAGAATATATGAGGAACTTATAAGTAAGAAAACAAATAATCTGATAGATTATTTGTTAGATGTGCAAAGGACCTATACAAACATTTCTGAAAACGACATATTATTGGCAAACAGGTTTATGAAGAAAAGATGATTACTAATTAGCAGGAAAATGCAAATTATAACCCTAATGAGATATTACCTTATAGCTGTTAGAATGGCTACTTTAAAAAAGACCAAAGATAAGTATTAGCAAGGTTGTTGAGAAAAGAGAACCTTGAAGACTATTGGTTGGATTGTAAATTAGTATTACAGCCATAATCAAAAATAGTTTAGAGGTTCCTAAAAAAATTAAAAGTAGAACTGTCATGTCATCCAGCAATTTTACTATTTAGTATATGTCCAAAGGAATCATATTAGTATGTCAAAAAGATACTTTCACTTCCTTCACAGTATCCTTGGAGTCTCACTTTTCCAGCCAGGAACCTCTGTGGCTGGTGGTGCTATTGCCTGAATTTTTCTTGGGCCCCCTTGGCTTGTTCTGCCCATTCTGCCTGGCAGGATACAATCTGTTTATGCTACCAGCCTGGATTCAATGCCTGCCAAGGGTGAGCCAGGTGTGGAGTGAGGGGTGTGTGAGTGAGTGAGTATGGGGTCTGGCCCCTGGCACAGCCAGGCATGCTGGTTGTGGTGGGGTGGATAGCTCCAGGTGCCAGAGCAGGCACCAGCACCCTACAATGCTGCAGCGCAACCAGGCATACTGCAAGCAGCTTCTACCGTTGGCACCAGGGAAGGCAGTGGTGCCTGGAAGCTTGGAGACTTCAGAAACTATAGAGCCCCATTGAGGGAGAGTGTCACAGCTGTGACTTGAGGAGCTTTTAAGTCTGAGATCCCCAAAGGATTCCAGCTCTTCTCTCCTTGTCACCTGCAACATGGTGATTAAGGGGCGTTTTTCAGCCCTGTGGGTGTTATTGCTCTTTCAGTCCTGCCATTCGGCAGGTCCCAACTTGTTGTCCTGTGTGCAGGAAGAATGAGTTATGCGGACAAGTGGAGGGTGAACAAGGTGAAGAGATCCTTTATTGAGTAACACAGCAGCTTAAAGGAGACCCACAGTGGGTAGCTCCTCTCTGCAGGTAGGGCATCCCAACAAGTGTTCAGTTCTCAGCAGAGAGGAGACCCATAGCGGGTAGCTCCTCGTTACAGGCAGGTTGTCCTATCATCTGCTCAGCTCTCAGCAGAAAGAAGACCCACAGTGGGTAGCTTCTTTCTGCGGGAAGGTTGCCCTGTCATCTGCCTGAGTCTGGCTGAGTCTAGGGATTTATTTGGGCTTCAGAGGGAAGCAAATGCATGCTGATTGGTCCACGAGAAGCCATGTGCAGGCCGAGAAAAAGCATCAGAAGTTCTCCCTCCATTCCATGGTACTGGCAGTCCAGCCCCTAGGCCTCAGGCTATCACTGACCTGAAGGTGAGGTTTAACCAGGTATCTGCCCCTTTCTGTCCAGGATCCTGTCTGCCTCCTGCTGCTGTTAACTTGCCAACCACAGTGCCCATGTTGCTCAGGCTGTTCATGCCTGCAGACTTGCACCAAGCCACCCTCAGCACCTGGTCAGCCTCCCTCCCATGCTCATTGGTACCCAAAGTCTGGAAGGGGCCAAGGCAGGAAGGGGCTGGTATGTCAGAGCTCACCTGAGTGTGTGCATACCTGGCTGGTTCATGTCAGTGCCCAGGCTTGGCCACAGCTATACTTTAAAATTGGAGTAGGTGCCAGGAGTGGGTGCTTGGAGTAGGGAGAAGCTCGGCAGTGGGAGCAGGCACTTGCAAGCCTGTGGGTCAGGGGGCTTCCTGGGTCCCCAAGAGTGTAGAGATGCCCTGGTCTGCAGCCATGGCTGGACAACTACAACTGCATCCCAGGGGTAGGGCTTCCACTTCTTTAACTTGGAATGGGCGGGTGGTTTCTGCCTGTTCTTGGTTCCTGCTGGCTCTGTGGCGTGCACAGCCCCAGCTGTGCCTTTCTCACTGCAGCTGGCATCACTGATAATGCCAGGGATTGATCAACACTGCTCCAGACTGGCTGCTGCTGCCATTAATCCCTGCTCTAAAGAGGTACATCTACTGCTGTTAAGATAGGGACAGCGACTGCTCTTAACTGCTTCATGCTGACAGGGAAGTTGTTTATGGGGAAAATGACAATTATATCTTATCTTAGAGGCCTATCTAAGGGTTCCTAGTAAAAGGGAGCTGTCAGCCAAGGTTCCATTTGCATGACTATTTGGAGTTTAATGGCCAGAAGGTGAGATGAGACAAACCTGGTTATTAGAAGACATGGATCAAAACGAAACAAAGGGGTAAGGACAGCTCGAAAATCCTGATATGCTCAAAATTAGAATATTGATCCAGATTTTTACATTACCCATCCCTTTTGTCTCTTCTGAGCCGAGATCACTGGCTGGTTCACAGGAGCAAGCAGGGTTAGTCTAAAATGCAGACCAAAACTTAAAAACAACTAATGAGCATTTGTCAAAGTTCTGTGGACGCAGAAAATCTGAGACAGGTCTCAGTTAATTTAGAAAATTGATTTTGCCAAGGTTGAGGACATGTCTGTGACACAGCCTCAGGAAGTCCCCGCAACATGTGCCCAAGGTGGTCAGGGCACAGCTTGGTTTTATACATTTTAGGGAGACGTGAGACATCAACCAATGTATATAAGAAGTACATTAGTTCCATCAGAAAAGCAGAGACAACTCAAAGCAAGCCTCCCCTCATCCATGGGCTTCCAGGTCACAGATAGCTGAGAGACAAATGGTTGTATTCTTTTGAGTTTCTGTTAAGTCTTTCCAAAGGAGGCAATCAGAGTATGCATCTATCTCTGTGAGCAGAGAGATGACTTGGAATAGAATGGGAGGCAGATTTGCCCTGAGTGTTTCCCAGCTTCAAGATACCCAATATATTTTCCTTTCACAGTTCTATAGCTGATTATAAATCATTCTTTGAAGAGTGTCAAATGAAGGCAGCACTTGTCTGTGAGTGACAAAATGTGTTAGGGTCATCACAGTCAAAAACACGATTGACAAAGAAATGTGGTTATTTCTGTGGTTTAACATCATAGCCCTAATTATGATTGATAGCAAATACTCAGACATTTGATTTTTAGAAGTCTCCTACAATTTTGGAACATAATATTATTCACTAAAATATAATTTGAAGAAGATTAAGCCTTCTTTTTTACTTTGACAGTCCCATGTAATTGAACATGTCAAATAATCCTGTTTACGTCTATTTTGGTTGTTCTAGGAGCACTCTGTAGTATCCCAAAGTTGGGGTCAGAAAAGACAATTTTGAAGCTGAAATTTGATTTTGTGAAGGCTATCAAATACGTTAAAGGTTTAAAACAGTTGATATTATGAAATAGCAGATCAGTGCCTTAAGAAACTCTTATTGTGCTTTTTATTCTAATGTTCAGTTTATAAACAAACCAAGTAATACCCATGGAGTTTAGTCAGTGTGTTCACAAACAAAATTTCTTTTACAAGATTAATTTTACAAACCTTCCACACCTTATTTAAACCTTTAGCTTCATCTTACCTAATTTGAAACAATCCTTTAACCTTCTAGTCTAGGTAAAAAGTTATACCCCCAAGCCTTCTTATGTTTTACTAATGACACATTTTACTTTCCTTACATACCTTGCATGTAAATCTATTTTAGTAGTCTCAATTACATGTTATAATGGTAACTCTTAGCAGATTTAAATTTTGGTGTAAAACTGGTAAGTTATTTTTCTTATGTACTAGGTTTAGATAAGGTCTGACTCTTTCCAGCATAGTTAGGGGTATGGTTAACTCCATATGTCCCCAGGCCTCAGGCTGTTCCTGGCCTGAAGGTGGGGTTTCACCTGGGAACCTGCCGGTTTCTGCCTAGGAGCCTGTCTGCCTCTTGTTGCCATTAACCTGTTGTCCATGGTGCCCACAGTGCCTAGGCTATGTGTTTGATGGGTGCCTGCAGGCCCATGCCACATTGCCCTTAGCCCTCCTTTGGCCTCCCTCCCATGCTTGTTGTTGTCCAAAGTGTGGAGGGGGCTGGGGCAGCAGGGGGCTGGTGTGTCAGCACTGCGCCAAGAGAGCACACACCCAGCCATGTTGTGACAGTGCTCAGGCTGGACCACAACTTTGCCCCAAAATTGGAGGGGTTGCCAGGAGTGGGGAGAGGACAGACAGCAGGAGCAGACTTCCAAGACTGCAGGGGTTCTTCCCAGGCCCCTGAGACTGCACAGATGCCTGTGTCTGCAGCTGTGTCTGGGTGGCTGCAGCTATACCCAGGAGGGCAGGGCTCCTGTCCCTTCAGCTTGGAACAGGGCAGGTCTACCACCTGTTTCTGGCTCCTGCTGGCTTTGTGGAGTCTACAGCTCCAGCCATACCTCCCACACTGCAGCTGGCATCATGGCAGTGGCTGCTCCATACACCCCACTGCTGCCATCGCTTCCATGCTAGTGAACATTATTTCCGATAGCCAAGATGTGGAATTAATCTAAGTGTTTATTAATGGATGAATAGATGAAGAAAACATGTTATATATAAATAATGAAATATCATTCAGCCTTAAATAAATCCTGTCATTCTCAACATCATGGATCAACCTGCAGGACATTATGTTAAGTGAAATAAGTCAGGCAGAGAAAGACAAATACTCAATACTTCCTTATATGTGTAGTGTAAAAATGTTGACCTTGTAGAAACAGAGTGAAATGTTGATTATCAGAGGCTAGGGTGTAGGAGGAATTAGGGAAATGTTGGCCAAAAGACAGAAAAATTTATTTAAAGTGGAGAAATAAGTTGAAAGACTATTGTAAGTCATGGTGACTACAGTTAATAACAATATGTTGTATATTTGAAAATGGCTAAGACAATAGATTTTAAGTGTTCTTACCAGAAGAAATGATAAGTATGTGAGGTAATGCATATGTTAAATAGCTTGACTTAGCCATTATACAGATATCAAAGCATCATGTTGCATATTATAAATATATATAATTTTAATCTGTCAGTTTAGAGACTCTGAGAAAGACATTAATCAATTTTTCCATGGTTATATATTTAGTGCACCCAGTGGTCTTCAGATATGTGTTCTTAACCAGAAGATGCAGTTGCTTTTTCTTCCATTTCCATCCCTAAAAGCTGAAAAGCAAAATAAAGAAGTGGAAAGAAATTCAGGAGCCATTTGACTCAACCTTGCAGTTCATGCAGCCTTTAAACACTGGGATAGCTTGGAAGGGAAGGCTGTTAGTACTATTTTTTATATATTGTGCATAAGAGGCTTTTGAGTCATGGATGTTTGATAATTTATTTATTTTCAGTAGTAACATATCCTTGGCTAATTTCTTTACTTCCAGCAATAACATATCCTAAGCAAATTTTATGCATTTTTTTCATACGTGAAAGAAACTTTTTATTAACATGGTATTAATGGAGCATAATCTGGTAAGAGTGTTCATTACTACTGTTGTATTACTGTTTTCAAGCTTTTTCCATGGACAGAGTAGGAAATACACATTTTTGGAGAGAAAAACATAAATCCCAAATTTATCCACATTCCAATTTAAGATAAAGATTTGATGGATTTTTATTGAGCACTTTGGTCTTACTCTTTTTGTATATCTTCTTTTTTTATTGTTCTTTTACCTCTATACTCTGATTTTACATTTTGTTTTTGTTTTTGTTTTTTGTTTTTGCTAGATGCAGGCCTAGGTATTTTATTTTATTTTTCATTACAGTCATAGAGTCTTCTCAATTCTTTTAACTAATAGGGTTTTTTGGGTGGTGGGAGGAGAAAACATTAAGTTGTCTGTTTCTTATTTATTTTACATATTGCTTATAATTCTCTTGTGAATTATTATAGGGCTTTTATTGTTTGTTTTTGTCTTCCTGATATAAAAATTATATTCCCTGCAAATAAAAATCGCTTTACTTCTTTTCCTTCCATTTTTGGCCTCTAATGTTTTCTCTTCTCTAATTGTGTTGTTCAATACCACCAAAATATATTAAATAGTAGAAGAGATAGTGGACATCCTTGTCTTATTCCTTATTTTAATGAGAAAGTATCTAACACTTCCAATTAAATAAGTTGCTGGCTAGTTGGGCAAGTACACCTCACATGTATGTACATTCAGGCTAACAAAATCTCTCTTAATTTCTATGTAAACTTTAAAATTTTTGTTTTGGTAATCCTGAATGATGTTGAATTATATCACTTGAGTTTTCAGTGGGTATGAAGATGAATATATAATCTTTCTTCTGTTAATATAATGGATTTTATTAATGCATTTTTAAATATTAAAAATCCTTGAATTTCTTAAATATACCCCACTTTTTAATTTTTTTTAGTGTTTTGGATTCTTTTGCATATTATCTCACTTAACATTTTTGCATCGTAATCTTCAGTGTGTTTGATTTGTACAGTTTTCTGTGCAGTTTTGTGAAGTTTTGTTACCAATGTTACATACCTGTTTTATAAAAATAATCTGGAAATATTCTTCCTTTTTAAAATCTGGTCCTTATTTTTATTCTGTTCAGGCACTGTTTTAACAGATGTTCAGGTACCTTCCATGTGCTATTAAATACAATAAAATTGCAATGGTAGTTAATAGATCTGTAGCACTTACTATGTATTTGTCAGTATTCCGAGTACAGTTGATTCTCACTACTTGAAGTAGATTTGTTTTGTCAAGTTGCAGTGAATATTCTTAATGGAATTATAATGTTAGGTTCCTGTAAGCCTCTGTCCCAACAATTTTTGTCCACCTATCAATACATAACTTTTAAAAAATCTGTGTTTCTGTTTAAAGATATCTTGTTTAACACATATATATTGTAGATTCATTGATATTGAACTCATGTCCCACAGCAGTATGACTCATGCCTGAAGGAAGCTTTTGTAACACATACATTTTCTCCTTAAGGCATATCACAGACCTCTTGTGCTTAGGAACCCTAGATAGCACTTCAGCACGAAGTTGGGCATTCTGAATAGCCAAATCAACAACAAAAAGCACAAAAATGAGAACATTGTTCCATTTAATAGACTGTGAAAAGAATATTCCTTTACAGTATGAGAACAGAAACAAAGCAGAGCATTACTTTGTTCAATTTCAGCTGACAAGGATGCAAATCAGCTGACTCAAAATTTTCCCCCTCTGCACATATCCACAAATTACTGCCAAAGTGCTACAAATATTGATGTTGGGGTTACATGTAAATTTTATTGAGTAGGTAAATTGACAGATATGGAATCTGTGAATGAGGATTAATTGTATTTCTAAGTATTTAACATGTATTCATTTATTGGTCACAGCAATCCGATGAGGTAGGTATTATAATAACACATACTATACAACAAAGAGGTTAAGTTCCTTGCACAGTGTTACACAATCAATGAGTGTTTGAGGACACCACTAAAGTAGTGTAAATGATGTCAAGACATATTTTTTGCCCTTAGGAGCCATTTCCATCTAAAAGGGTTAAAGGTGTTTTGCTGAAATAACGAAATTTAAGATAGTTTGAGGTTAAGTAGCATAGGGTAGTGCCACCAAGATGTAATGGATATTCAGAGGACATATCATTGAGGAGAACATAGAAGGGCTTTATGTGATGGTTTCTAAATGGTGGCTTTTAGAGTCAGTAAGATTTCATTAAGCTGGCTTATGAGGATAGAAGAGATGAACTATTTGAGAAGGTACTCATTTTTTACATGGGATACCTTCAATGGTTCTAGTCTTTTTGGAATAGCAAAGTGGTGGTGAAGGACAACCTCTTTAGTTTTCAGTTTTCAGGATTCATATATTTAAAACTGTATGACCATTTTTTCCATTACTATTTAAAAATTTATTCTGCTTTTGTAATACTGGGAATTAAAGCAATAGCACCATTAATTGGAAGACTTAAAGATGAACAAGACAGTGTTTCAACGTAAACACATGAATTTCTTATTATGGAAGAAGAAAAGCCAGCAATAAATTGACATTTGTGTAATAGGACTGCAAATAGTGGGTGTTTTATCGGAGAGTGAAAAATCCAAGTAAATATTAAAAATTGTTGAAATACAAAGATTTTCCCCTATATACAATATTTTTGTAATATACTTACATGTTTTTGAGTGCATCTCATTAACCATACCTCTTAACTGCGTTGTAAAAACCAAAAAATTGAGGGACTATTTTAAATCAAATATTCTAATTTTAATATGCAAGATAGTGATTTTCATTTTATATCTGGTGCCCATGAAATTGGGCTGATTTATTATAGGTGGTAGATGTATAAACCTACCTGTGTATGATCTTGTTGAGGGCAAGATTGTGGCTTTTCATTTTTTGCATTTCTAATATACAGCAAAGTTTCTTTCACAGAGAAAGCTCTCAGGAAATGTTATGGCCTAACTAAATGAATACGCCAAAACCCTTTGTGACTGATAATTCCTATGTAAATATTGTAGATTGTGTTGATCAGTGTTCTTGCATTCTATGTATTGTTTCATTTAGTTTATTTTCAGTGCAACACTGTGAGAGTGATTAAAGCACAAAAAATCTGTCCCTATGTTTAGCTTTATAATCAGAAAACACCATACTAATTCATAATTTTTTTTCTCACCATTGCCTGTTTTTCTTTTTATTGTTCTTTTTTTTTTTATTGTCAGAAAATATTAGGTAATTTTCCAGCATACCTTTCTCGAGAGTATGTTTCCTCATTACCACAGTGATGTGAAATTAGAAGATAAACTATTCTGTTTCAGCACCAGTGTCTTGACACCTATAACTTGAAATGTAAATATGAATTTCATTTCTTCATGGTAAAGGATTCAATTTTTCATCAGTTACTTTGATCATCATAAAATCTGAAGTTAGGAAAGAACTTTACTTGTTATTAAGTCCTATTCCATTTTAACGCCTGCAGTAGTAAGTGTTTATTTATGATAAAACTCTGATTAGGTAGTAGGAAAAATTCAAGGTCAAAAGTACAAATTTCTACCAAACTGAAGAAATAATATTTTAATATGACTTGCAAGCTTCTTGAATTCATATATACTAAGGAGGGGGGTAGAAGATGATAGTTTTAAGAATTACACAGAGTTCAATAAAAAGCCAATTAAAAAGTCATGTCTGTGCCAAGAATTATTGAACATTTTGAAATAAAAGTATAGACATGGCCGGGCGCGGTGGCTCAAGCCTGTAATCCCAGCACTTTGGGAGGCCGAGGCGGGTGGATTACGAGGTCAAGAGATCGAGACCATCCTGGTCAACATGGTGAAACCCCGTCTCTACTAAAAATACAAAAAATCAGTTGGGCATGGTGGCGTGTGCCTATAATCCCAGCTACTCAGGAGGCTGAGGCAGGAGAATTGCCTGAACCCGGGAGGCGGAGGTTGCGGTGAGCCGAGATCGCGCCATTGCCCTCCAGCCTGGGTAACAAGAGCGAAACTCCGTCTCAAAAAAAAAAAAAAAAAAAGTATAGACATTTCAATATTTGCTCTTGGTCAACTTCCCCTCTTCTCCCACCAGAAAATGTTTTTGGATCCAGTGTTCAATTTTGGTTCTCTCCGTTATACATATGAAGCTTACAAGGGTAAGATGTGGGTCATTGAGCCTGTATTTTATCAAACAAAATCAAAAAATAATATTCTTAAACATCGTATCACATTTGGAGTCGTAGTGTCTATGAAATCCTCTTGGTATGAAATTTATATTTGGGTAAAAACTAAAACAGTAGGATTTTGAAATCTTTTAACTTTTAGATTACAAAAGAATATGGGAAATGTGGAAACACACAAGAAGAAATTTTAAAAATCCCTGTAATATCTCTATCCAGAAATAATATTTTCATATATGCATTTCCAGGTTTTTTGTGTGTATGCACACACATCTATACTATTTTACAAACTTTGAATCATGCTGTAAGAACACTTTTGTTCCTTGCTTTTTTCAACTTTATGAACATTTTCCTATGCCACCAAAAATTTAGTTCAAAGTAATTTAAAATGATTATATAATTTTCCACTAAATGCCTGTATGATCTCCAGCAGTTGGACATTGTATAGATATATCCAGTTTTTAATTATGAACAGTGCTATGCTAAGTATTTTTATTTAGCTTTTTATACACAATTGCTATTTTTGTATGAAGAAGGTAATGGGATTTTAAATCTTATATTGCAACTATGCTTCTATTTTGTCTTAAATATTATCAAATAACGTTTAAATATTATCTGGGTAAATAAATACTTGATAAATTATGTCACTTTTGTCAAAAACGAAATTTGTAAATTTTTACTTCTACATAGGTCAGTTGTAGTTGTAACGAAGGAATTACGTTTCCTCAAATTGAAAATTATGAAGATGGAAACTGATACTTCTTTACATCTAACAATTTGATTATACATCTTATGATTAATGTTAATATTTTCTGAGGCAAATATTTCGCTGTCCTCTGTGTGCAGTTCTTTATTTACATTGTCCACTATGACAAAATATGTCTCTTAATTTAGGCTATTGTGGCCTTGGGGAATGAGCACTTGTTTTTAATATTAGCTTGTCAGACTAAGCACTTTAATTGGATTAGCTTATTTAATTCTCACAACATTGCATGAACTGTAGATAGCATTTGATCCTATTTTATACATGATGAATCCTGAGTCATAGCATCCTCATGTATCAGAGTCCTTTGTAGGGCTGCAAAGTATAGGTGTTAGTACAGGTGATAGTATCATGATTGGTTTATAGAAACCCTGGTACTGTCATCTGCATTTGTAAACATATACAGCAGGAAGGTATGTAATTTAATACTTGTTTTCTTTTTCTTCTATTCTCATTGAAGATTATTTTCCAAAGTTATTCTCTTGTGGATTATCTCCATTACTCCAAATTTGAAAAATGTGCTATATAGAATATGTATGTATATATTTATATGCATATGCATGTGTATGCATTCAGGGGTGAATAGAAACCCACAAACCTAACTGAATGTTCAAATTTTAGTACTAGAAATATTAAAATAATTGCTTTGCAGGCAATTGGTTGTGGAACAATATCCATTGAGTGAAATACTTTTTCTGGCTATAATTGGAGTATAATTAAAATATAAACTTTAAGTTTCTCTTTTTAAAAAATATTTTGGAAAAACAGATTTTACTCTTTTCATCAGAAAAGTATTTCAATATGTAAGTGTACATATACCCAGAAATGCATATGTCTGATTGAAAGTGTTTTATTCTTTAGTTTTAAGCCCATATATATATATATATATATATATATATTTAAAATAATTTCTTCTTTTAGATTCATGGGTACATGTACAGATTTGTTGCATAGGTATATTGAATGATACTGAGGTTGGGGATATAGATGATCCTGTCACCCAGGTACTGAGCATAATACCTGATAAGTAGTTTTCATCCCATTTCCTCTTCCCTCCTTAGACATCTCCAAGCGTCTATTGTTCTCATCTTTACGTCTATACGTATTCGGTTATTTAGTTCACACTTATAAGTGAGGATATACGATATTTGGTTTTCCGTTTCTTTGTTAATTCACTTTAGATAATGGCCTCCAGCTACATCCATGTTGCTGCAAAGGACACATTACAGTCTTTTTATGACTGCGAAGTATTCGATGGTATATTTGTGTCACATTTGCTGTATCGAATCTACCATAGATGGGCACCTAAGTTGATTCCATATCTTTGCAATTGTGAATGGTGATGCAGTGAACCTATGAGTGCATATGTCTTTTTTGTAGGATAATTTATTTGCCTTTAGGTACTTATTCAATAATGGGATGGCTGGGTCAAATGGTAGTCCTAAGTTGTTTGAGAAATCTCCCAACTGCTTTCCACAGTGGATGAACTAACTTACATTCCCACCAAGAGTGTATATGTGTTCCCTTTTCTCCCCAGGCTGGTCAGCATTTATTATTTTTTAATTTTTTAATAATCACTATTTTGACTGGTATGAGATGGTATATTGTTGTAGTTTTAATTTGCCTTTCTCTGATTAGTGATGATGAACATTTTTTCATTTGTTTCTTGGCCACTTATAATGTCTTCTTTTGCTAAGTGTTGGTTTATATTCTTTATTTTTCCTTTTTTCTTTTTCTGAGATGGAATCCCTCTCTGTCACCCAGGCTGGAGTGCAGTGGCGTGATCTGTTTTTTTAAAGGAGTTATTTGTTTTTTGCTTGTTGATTTGCTTGTTGAAGTTCCTTATAGATTCTGGATATTACACCTTTGTTGGATGCACAGTGTGTGTATTTTTCTCCCCTTCTGGAGGCTGTTTAGTGTTGATAATTCATTTTGCTGTACAGAGCTCTTTATTTTAATTAGGCCCCACTTGTCAATTTTTTTTGCAATTTCTTTTGGGGACCTACTCATAAATTCTTTGTCAAAGCTGATGTCAAGAAGTGCATTTCTTAAGTTTTCTTGTAGGATTTTTGTAGTTTGAGGTCTTACATTTAAATCTTTGATTTGTCTTGAGTTTTTGTATGTAGTGAAAGGTAGGAGACTAGTTTCATTCTTCTTCATGTGGCTAGACAGTTATCCCAGCACCATTTATTGAATGGGAGTCCTGTCCTCATTGCTTCCTTTGTCTAAAATCAGATGGTTATGGGTATATGGCTTTATTTCTGGGTCCTTTATTTTGTTCCATTAGTCTAGGTGTCTGCTTTTATACCAGACCCATGCTGTAGTTTGGTTACTATAACCTTATAGTATAGTTTGAAGTCAGGTAATGTGATGCCTCTAGCTTGTTCTTTTTGCTTAGTATTGCTTTGGTTGTTTGGGTTCTGCTTTTGTTCCATGTGAATATTAGAGTAGGTTTTTTTTAATTCTACAAAAAATGATATTGGTAGTTTGATAGAAATAGGATTGAATTTATAAATTGCTTTGTCCATATGGCCATTTTAACAATATTGATTCTTCCAATTCATAAGCATGGAATATATTTTCATTTATTTGTGCCATCTCATTTTTTTCAGCAGTGCTTTGTAGTTCTTGTAGAGATCTTTCACCTCTTTGGTTAGATGTATGCATAGGTATTTTATTTTTGTTGTTGGATATTGGTGTGTGTTCTTGGCTTGGCTCTCAGAATGTTTTTGTTGTACAGAAGTGCTACTGATTTTTGTACATTGATTTTGTACCCTGAAACTTATCAGTTCCAGGAGCCTTTTGGCAGCATCTTTAGTATTTTTTAGGTGTGGAATCATATCATAAGTGAAAAGAGGTAATTTTACTTCCTTTCCTATTTGAATGCATTTTCTTTTACCTGGTTATTCTGACTAGCACTTTCAGTACTATGTTGAATAGGAGTGTTGGGAGTGGGCATTCTTGTCTCTTTCTAGTTCTCAAGGAGAATGATTCCAGCTTTTCCCATTTCAGTATGATGTTGACTGTAGGTTTGTCATCAGTGGCTCTTTTTATTGTGAGGTATGTTCCTTGGAAGCCTAGTATGTTGAGGGTTTTTATCGTGAAGAGATGTTGGATTTTGTAGAAAGCTTTTTCTGTGTCTATGGAGATGATCAATCATATGCTTTTTGTTTTTGAGTCTATTTATGTGGTAAATCACATTTATTGATATGCATATGTTGAAGCAACCAACCTTGCATCCCAGGAATGAAGCCTACTTGATCATGGAGAATTAACTGTTTAACTTGCTGCTGGATTCATTTTGCTATTTTTTTTTTTTTTAGGGTTTTGTTTTTGTGTTCATTTGGGATATTGGCTTTCTTTTTTGTTGTGTCTTTGCCAGATTTTGGTATCAGGGTAATTCTGGCCCTGTAGAATGAGTTAGGGAGGAAGGGGAGCCCCTCCTACTCATTTTTTTAAAAAATAGTTTCAGTAGGATTGGTACCAGTTCTTATTTGTATGTCTGGTAGAATTCAGCTGTGAATCCTTTTAGTCCATGGCTTGTTGTTGTTGGTAGATTTTTCATTACTGACTCAAACTTGGAACTTGTTATTGGTCTGTTCAGGTTTTCACTTTCTTCCTGGTTCAATCTTTGGAGGTTGTGTGTTCCCATAAATTTATTTCCTCTAGATTTCTAGTTTGTGCTCATAAGAGATGTTCATAATAATCTCTGAGAATCTTTTGTATTTCTGTTAGATCAGTTGTATTGTCAGCTTTGTCGTTTCTGTTTGTACTTATTTGGAGCTTCCCTTTTTCTCCTTTGTTACTCTAATGAACAGTCTGTCAATCTGTTTTATTCCTCCTATAAACCTACTCTTTTTTTCATTGATCTTTTATATGGATTTTTATGTCTTATTTTAAATCAGTTCTGATCTTAGTTATTTCTTTTGTTAGCTTCGTGTTGTTTTTTTTTTTTTTTTTTCCTGGTTCCTCTAGGTACAAGGTTAGATTGGTAATTTGAGATCTTTCTACTTTTTTGATGAATGCATTTGGCGCTGTAAACTTTCCTCTTAACATGCTTTAGCTCCTTCCCAAAGATTTTGTTAATATGTGATTCTATTTTAGTGAATTTTGAAGCATTCTTTGGTTTTTGCCCTCATTTTATTGTTTACCCAAGACTTATGCAGGAGCAAGTTGCTTCATTTTTATGTATATGTGTAGTTTTGAGAGACCTTCTTGGTGTTGGTTTCTGTTTTTAATGCACTATGGTATGAGAACGTACTCAACATGATTTTGATTTTTTAAATTTTTTGAGACTTGATTTATGACCAAAGCATTTGGTTGATCTGAGAATATGTTTCTTGTGCATATGAGAAAAATGTAGATTCTGTGATTTTGGGTGGAGTATTCTATAGATGTCTATTAG